CATCGTCTTCGCCCTCGGCATCGTCCTGTTGGGCTTCTTGCGCAGGTGAACTGTCCTTACTGGCTTTGACTTGGGTCTCTTCGTCGACGAGAAGCGCGTCGAGGGGACCAGGGCTGTCATCGCGTATCATCGACGTCTCCTGGGAGGCCTCCATGATAGCGCTAGGATGTTGGACTCGTGGGCCTTTGCCGCCTCGTGTGGCACGGGCGATGACGGGCTCAGGGCTGCGCGTGCCTTCGCGCACGACTTTGACGTGCCTGCCAGAATCCGAAAGCTGGACAATGGGTTCCTCCACATCGTGCGACAGGCGAGTACTGCGTCGCGTGCCATGCACTTCAGGTGTCTTCCCGCGCGCAAGGGATTTGCTGCCTGTGCGAGTGCGCAGATTGCGACCGGAGGCGTGGTCGGGCATCTTCAGCTTCACGATGAGCGAAGGCTTCTCGACCTCTTCGATGGACGGCTGCGCCCGGCGTCGCGATGCGGGCTTGGGCGAATCGTCTTCGGATGGCGTATCTTCGATCTCGTCCTCGCTCTCCTCGTACTTGATCTGCTTCTTGGTGGCGCGGCGCACGCTTCTGCCTGTCGCCGGGTTGATCTCGGGCTCCTCCGACTCGGAGCGCTCTGAGAAGGAGTCTTCGGACTCTATCTCGTCGTCTTCGTCAATGTCAGAGCCGCCGTATGCGCGTCGCTGGCGCTTGGAAGACTTCTTCTTAGCTCCAGGCGTGTGTCGGGTGCGGCGCCGTTGGGGCGCGGCGCGTTTTTCCGAGTCGTCGTAATCGTAGTCGTCCGGGTCGGAGGCGTTGGGGTCGATGTCGAACTTGCGCTTCGCTCGGCTAGACATGGGGACTCGTCGCGGTGAGGCCTAATGCGGTCCTGCGGGATGTTGTGAGTGCGCGGCCCCGGGGATGCGTCGCGGTGAGAGCGCGCTTACACCGCCTGTATGAATTCTACAAGCTTCAAGATGGCATTAGATGCAGGGGAACCGTCTCCTGCATGTGCGCCGATGATGGCGAAGGTGTGCGCGATGCCGCCTGGCGTGTCGCCTGGGCGTCGTGTTGTTGTGAATGTGGGAACGATGTCGAGCGCGCGATGCACCGGTCAAGACGACGCAGAACTCAAAGAAAGCGGCGTCAAACAGAATCAGTGCCCTGATAGATGACACTGAGAAGCGAAACAGTCGAGATAGACAGACGTGGTCGAGGGGCGTGTGGTGTTGGGGTGCGATCGCGAAGGCCCGTCCAATCCTAAGCGCGCTAAACCCCAACCCGAATTCAGAGCAAGGAACACTTTTTAGATGCACAACCACAACAATAGCGAACGCCTTTATTTCTCGACTTCTGACAATACAAAATGTGTCAAAATGCACAGCAAAAGTCGAGCTGATATCTAGTGAGCAAATTCCGCAGCTTTTCGGGAGTCTTCCGCCACGTCTTGGACTACTATTTGAGCCCTTTCTTTTCGACTTGTAGCTCTTGCTGCTGTCGGTTCCTGCATGATCGACATGCGGCTCTAAAAGCTTAACGCGTTTAGAGCTCGCTGCCATGTGTGGGGAAGAGCGAACTATGCACGTGCACCACGTGCTGGAGCGACCCAGTTCAACGCCGCCCCTGAGCAATCAACTCATGACGCATAGGTCTGGAATTAGTTTGCATTTGCAGAGATCGGATATTTGTTTCGTTGTAGATATGTCACACGCGACTGTTGTTGTGGTCGTCGGAAGACGTCTAAACTCCCGCGGTGACCGATAACATTCTCAAACAGCCCAACTTACATGTTGATAATTCTTTGCGGGAGGCAATGGTTTTCATCGAACAATTGTTGTGTTTGTGGGTTCAAGGTGCATGTTAGGGTGGATGCTTTCGTACCTTCCAAGGTTGCCGGGTGGTTGCTCCATGTTGCCGCGAACATCGACTAGACTTAGGCCACATTCGCCCTGGGCGCTGTCTGAGTTTGTTTGTAAAGGACTTCCAGGAAAATCATCGTTACGTTTACGCTGATTCATGCGACTTTATGCGCCAACGCCGTCGGGTAGGATATCGGTGTGTCTCGGAGCTTCCACACTCGTGCATCGTCGGGGCCCATCTCGACAATCGCTAGAGACCAGCGCCGAACAAGCCCCACGATTTTGAGGAGGAGATATCTCAACCACTTTCGATACCAGCTCCTTTTTCAGTCAACAAGTAGCCGCCCTCGTCTAGTCCAGCTTACCCAAGTATGGCCGACATGCCTCACTAATGTCGCAAGCTCCGAACAAGGTACACGCTCTTGACGCTGTATACGCCATATACGCGAACACTCTGCCTAGCATGTCACCCTTCCTTGAAGGAATGGCAAAAGTTACTGGAATTTTGCATGCAGACTCTTCAATTGGAAGCTCCTTGATACACAGCTCATTATTCTTACGTTGTCATTGAGCACTGCGGAGCTGCCTCCGTGCTGTTCGCATCCATCCCACCAGAACAAGCCGAACCCCGCAGTTTGGCCATAGCTCTACCCAACGTCATAGGCTCCCAAAGCTCCGCCAGACCTATCTGAATATTAGTCTACGAGAGATTGACGTCTTCGGGTGGGCTTAGCTATCTTTATTTCCACGCGTGCCGCCTTTAGAGTGGCCGAGTTCGCGGTGGTTTATAATCCATCTTCACACCCACTTCCAGACGCCATGCGCTCTATTGTGACAGCAACTCGATCTCTCGGACGTCAACAAGCTTACAGAAGTCACTTTCAGAAGAGATCCTTACCATCAATTGTCTCTCGAGCATACGCAAATATGGGCCATTCAGTACCACCAGTATGTTCCTACTTCGTTTGCACGATCATCCGCAACGACCAGCTACTGATCGCATACAGCTCAACGACAAGTCTCTCTTGAAGAACCAGACATATGTCAACGGAGAATGGATAGATGCAAAGTCAGGCAAGACCTTTGAGGTCAATGGTAGGCCTGTTCCACCAATCGTCCAGAGACCCTCTAACACGCAGCAGACCCAGCAACAGGCAAGCTCATAGGCACCATGCCTGAGATGGACCGCGCAGACACCGAAGCCGCCATCGCAGCAGCAGCCGCCGCACTCCCTTCCTTCCGCAAACTCACCGGTCGCGAGCGCTCACGGCTCCTACGGAAATGGTACCAATTGATGATGGATAATGCGGATGATCTGGCGAAGCTCATAACCTGGGAGAACGGAAAGCCCATGGCAGACGCTAAGGGAGAGGTCAACTACGCTGCGAGCTTCTACGAGTGGTTCGCAGAAGAGGCACCGCGCATGTACGGAGCCACCATTCCGGCGACCGTTGCTGGTAACCGAGTGTTCACAATCAAGGAGCCTGTTGGTGTTGTTGGATTGATCACACCGTAAGTCTCGCACTTGATTCGGAAGGATTATGGCTAATGCCGTCAGATGGAACTTCCCCGCAGCTATGATCACGAGAAAGATTGGACCGGCTCTGGCAGCTGGTTGCACCGTCGTCGCAAAGTCTCCCGGCGAGACGCCTTTTACAGCGGCTGCTCTCGCCGAGCTTGCGCACCGAGCTGGAATTCCCAAGGGTGTCGTCAACTTCGTTACCGCACTTAAAAACACACCTGAAGTCGGCGAGACAATCACATCGAGCAAGACTGTCAAGAAAGTGTCATTCACAGGATCGACCGGTGTCGGCAAGCTTCTGATGAAGCAGTCGTCGGATACACTCAAGAAGCTCTCGTTCGAGCTCGGTGGAAACGCACCCTTCATCGTCTTCGACGACGCCGACCTGGAGACAGCCGTGACCGGAGCTATCACATCCAAGTTCCGATCTTCAGGCCAAACTTGCGTATGCGCCAACAGAATTTATGTTCAGTCCGGCATTTATGATGAGTTCTGCACAAAGTTCACCGAAAAGGTCAAGAGCTTCAAGGTTGGTGGCGGCTACGAAGAGGGCACTACACACGGGCCTCTCATCCATGACCGTGCCGTCGACAAGGTGGACGCCCACGTCCAGGATGCCGTCAAGAACGGCGCCAAGGTCCTGTTCGGTGGACAAAAGCTACCTGATCTTGGTGAGAACTTTTACCAACCCACCGTCCTGCGCGACATGACCAAGGACATGCAGCTCGCCAAAGATGAGACCTTTGGCCCTGTTGCCGGACTCTTCCCATTCGACACCGAAGCCGACGTTGTCAAGCTCGCCAATGCAGCTGACGTAGGACTTGCGGGCTACTTCTTCAGCAAAGACATTCAAAGAGTTTACAGGGTAGCTGAAGCTCTGGAGGTTGGCATGGTTGGTGTTAATACCGGTCTCATCTCCGATGCTGCTGCACCTTTCGGAGGCGTGAAAGAGTCTGGCTTTGGACGAGAGGGAAGCCATCTTGGTATCGATGAATACATTGTCACAAAGACGATCACAATGGGCGGTAATGGCCAGCCGCTCCAAGGAGAGTAGAGGATCAATACACTGATTTACGCCGAGGGGTCGAGAAGCCCCGCCACACGTAGCTTCATTTCCACATATGCCTGACAACGACCACAGATCATGAGGAGGTTTGTGCTTAGATCTCGACAGATACCGCAGTGCAGAACCATTCGTCAGAATTCTTGGGAAGGAATGTGCCGTGCACGTTGCGAAAAGAACTGTCGAAGGGAGCCGCTAGCGTGTCATGTTCGCGACTTTGGAGTTTAGCGTAACGCGTAGCCCAGCGCAACGCGTGCCTGTGCGATCCTGTCCTTGCGGCCGTTTAGTAGGTACCTATCGAGTATTTTGTTTGCTTTTCTTTTCAATTCTCCATAAGATTAATAGCATCGAGTGATCTTGCAACGACGGCATTTCAAACAACTAATCGCATCGTCGATTTCACATTCCTTCCTTCGACGATCCTTACCTACCGGTGCCATTTCCGACACACATCCCTGATAGCATCACTTTCGGCCGTTTACCCCTCTCCGCCACATCCACGCCAAAGCACGTTAAGAACAGGCCAAACACCCAGTTCAGACTTTGTCACCATTAGCTCATTCACAACTACGATGGCGCACGTTTCGTACGATCAAAGCCATGTCTACATCAAGTCGGAGGCGGGCCTCGACCAAAAGCAAACCTTAACTCCCGGACCGAGTCCAACGATGTCAGCTGCACCGTTTCCGCCAGGCCCGAACAACGTCAAGATGGAGCAGACTCCTGAACCTTATAACATCAAGCAAGAGGAGTATCTCCAACAAGAACGAGAGAGCACCGTAGGTACTATGGATGCAACCACACGCACCACGAACTGGGTACTACAAGGGAACAACGGCACTGTCGGTCAGGCTGTACCAGCTCTTGGGTCAGCTTTTTCGACACCGGTTCCAACTACTCAGGCAGCGACTGCCCCAGCTGCTCAGACGACGGCAGCTCAGATCACCCAGAACTCCATGGCGTCTAGCAGATACGCCCAACCAGAGATCCAGGCCGACCCGTCTCCAGCGGCATTGAACCGTCTGGCATCCAAGAGACTCCTCGAAGATGATTCTTTCTGTACAGGATCACCAACAAACAAGCGCATCAAAGCCGAGCCATCCTCCTCAGTCTCCGGCACCGGCGTTCCTCGCATCAAGTTGGAGCCCTCCAGCTCCCACACAGAAACCCCTCCTATGCACCGCGCACCCGAGAACGACATAACCGAAATCATCAAGACATGCACAAAAGTCAACCTCAAACCTTTTGAACTCGAGTACCTCAGCAAGATCCAAACTAGAATCGACTGGGTCTTCAACCATGGCGCAAAGTCTTTCGACATCCTTTCCGAGATCAAGGCAATGCCGAATAACCCGCCTGATTCCTACACGTTTAGTCTCAAGCCCGAACAGAATCGCCGCATCGGCGAATTGCAGAAGAGGATGAAGGACGCTCAGACTCAATTTAATGCTCAGGGTGTGAAAGCCAACCCACTCTCGACTCCTAAGGGCAGGAAGATCAAGAATTGTCGGGCGAGGACTGCGAAGTCGCCGTCGGTATCTGCAGAGCAGGGATTCAAGGTTGAGAAGCTTTTGGGCATGCTGATGCTGAATGACGAGTCTGGGGCTGCTGTTGCTCAAGCGGCGTCCAACTTGCTTGCTAGTAGGGGGCTGAAGTTTACTCTGTGTGGAAAGGAGTTGCGGTTGGTGGAATCGTAGATGCAATCGCGGTGCTGTTGGATGTTTTGTATTTTTTTGGGGAATCTGTAGCCAAAATGGCTTTCTTGTGTTACTAGTACTAGGAGGTGGCTCTCTGGATTTTGTGCAGGTAGACTCGTGGTCTCTGTCAAGCACTCTTTATAGTTTCATTGTTGTACCTATGTAGTCTCTGTTCGATGTAAAATTGAATCTACTGAAATATCTCAACTGCTTTCTTGGCTGTGTCGCTATAGGTCTCGTGTGTCGCTGGGGGAGAAGCTCTTGATGACCGTCTACATGAACTCTGACAACGGAGCACTATCAGCACTTCAGCGACCCTTCGACTTCCTTCTCACATGTAACCTTTGTGGATGGCCGATCTACGTAGACATTGCAGTTTGTGTCAGAAACACCGGACCATGTGTGGCGGCGCAACGCGCATGCAGCATAAATACCCAACGTCATCGTCCCCGCACAACCCAGGGGAAAGCGATTTGTCGCTGTGACCATTTCGGGGTTATAGATACCATCCAAAGAAAATCAGACCTTGTAGTGAGCTCAAGGTCAACAAATGTTATCAATAGAAAATCGATTCGAACATCATTCCCGTGAATTTTCTCGACATTTGCAGGACACCTCACAGTCGGGGAGCTGCTAGCGCGTTGCACTCGCGACCGAAGTTCAACAGGGCACAACGCGCATCCGCAACCCACCGTTCGCAACTTATCGCACATGTCAAGCACTGTCATCCGCCCACTCTGAGTGACGCGCGCAAGATCGCAAGAGGTACTGCAACGGATAGCGATAATCAAAAAAGCAATTCCATCGACTTCCCGCTTCCGGTGCCCTTTCCGAACGTCCAGCGGTCGCACCTTCCACCTCGACTTACATTCGGCAATCGCCTACAACACACGTCATGATGCGCTGGCTCAGAGGCAGCACGGCGGCAGGAACACCGGGCGCAGAGGAAGGAATCGGCAAAGAAAATGTTATGCCAATGGTATCAGACAACCTCCATGCCGAGGGCGCGGAGGATGAGGTTGAGACCTCGAAGAAGCCGTTGCGCAACACCCCGCGCCGTGCTGCAGCAAAATCCAAGAAGAGCGCTCCTGCCAAAGCATCGCCCGCGAAGGCAGCGACTCCCCTGCGGCGGTCTACGCGCGCGCAATCGAGAAAGAGCGGGGGCTTCTTCGACGCGGCGCAGGAAGCCACTCCAGACCCGATGTCAATCGCCTCGATCATAGATGCACCTCCGACATCGACATCGACACCACCACCACCATCACCACAACAGTGGTTCAGTGTTGCCCAAGAAGAAAGTCTATTACGACAGATGGAAAACCTACACAAGAGTGTCGTTGAGTTGAGAAAGATGGGAGAGCCACAGCACGTCATCGCTCACACTCAGGAAGACGAGAGTCACGTATCGGTGGGTGAGATGGAGGTGCCACAGCAGGTCATCTCTCACGCTCATTCGGACGAGACGGCAGCGGGAGGTGAGAATCGAGAGCCGGCGGTTGAGATGACTGAGTCTCTGCGAAGTACTGTCGCTCCAGGACAGACTGTCGCTGTACAGGAGACTGCTGCTGTACAGGAGACTACCGTTGCACAAGAGATCGCTGTTGCACAAGAGACTGCTGCTGTACAGGAGACTGCCACTTCACAAGCGGCACAAGACAGCCACGCGATTTACTCAGCCACGCCGGCTTTCGATCATGCCAGCCAGAACTCGACGCTGCCTGCAGACAACCCAACAATTTCCTCGGCCGGCATATGCTACGTTCCAGCATCGATCCGCCCCGGTCACTCTTCATCGGTGCCTACAGATACGGAACCTAACATCACATTCATCCCAACCCAATCGGCATCCGAGGGACTCCCATCACAAACCGAGACTGCTCAGACGTCAATTCCAGCCCCGTCGACCTCGAATCAATCGAATGAGTCCTTTACGAACCATAGGGCCGTCCGCCCTGGCGGACTCTCTACAAGCAAGTATGCGGTTGTCCCAGCTGCACCAATTGAACCCACAGATCCGCCCATGCCGTTCTCTGCATACGCCAACTCAGGCAAACGTCGGCATGTCGAGGAAGAGAACGAAGGACCATCGGGCTTTCAGCATGAGCGTTCAGCAAAACGCGTGCGTACTACGCACAGTCGCGAGTCCGCAGGTGACCGCAGTACGGCACTTCCTCAAATACTTCCCAGCCCTTATGACAGATACGAATGGGCGCTTATCAATGACAACATGAGGGATAGTCAGGATCAAAGCATGAACTCTGAACCTGAAGAGACGCCAGAACGGTCAGTTGTGGGGCAAGACATCATCGATAGAGAGCCAGTCATCAAGACTGAACCGACCGATGATGCACCAAGTAACCTCGCTGTGATCCCGCCGGCGCACCACACCCTGCTCACACCAGCTCAGTCCAATTCACCAAGTATGGGCCGGACAACGGCAGGACCAACAGCAACGCAGCTTACTGACCCGCAAACTCCTGTCTCAACTCCCGAGTATATCGACCTTTTTCGTCTATGCATACCACACTCTAGCGTCCGCCAACCGACACTGACCGAGGCTAATCTTCTGAGAGAGATTGAAAGAAAAGCGGCCATAATTTTGAGTGGCGGGCAGGCGAAAGTCAATATCATAAGCCAGCTTCCAGCCTGGATGCGCGAGGGCATGTGTAAGACCCAGAGACGACGGGTGGCTGCCATTCAGAGGCGCATCGAGGCAGCGAAATCAGGTCCTCGTCTCATTGCCGACGTGAGAAGTTTCAACAACAGGGCAGTCGTATCTACGCCGGCGCCCATGAGAGCCGCGCCAGCACCTGTCACGCAACATTACCAGCAGGCTCCTCCCATGACCGCATCAGCAGCACCACCGCAAGTTCAACCCTCAGCACCTCAACAAGCCCGTCAACCCTACGGTCTCGACCCTCTCCAGTACGAAAAGTTTTTCGGTCCAGCTTTAGTATACAGTGCCCTGGAACAAGTCAACAACATGCTAGGAGCTCTTGGGGTCAACGTACGCTGTTTCCTCAGTGGCATGGACACGATAACTCTAAAGAAAAACCATGAAATAGTACTACCTCCGGCTCCGCCAGGCTGCATGCCTCTTTCACTCGAAAACATGCCCTACGCTAAATTGGCCGGTCCGGCTCTGGTGAATCACGCGTTACACCAGGTCAACGAGATGATGAGCTCATTGTGGCCTGGTCAGTTTGTGTTGCATGGGAAGGACATGCTGCTGTTGCAGTCGTAGTTTGTCGCATCGTGGCGATGCTACTGTGCTTATCTTCGAGGCTGCAATGGTGACGAAACACACGTGGTATAACTTCTTTTCCTGTATATAATTATTATCATATTGGCGGTTTATGGCTTTGTACGGATAGTCGAGAGTACGTTCGATACCCAATGACATTACGTATCAGAACCCTTATGTCGATGCGTGTATCATCTACAACTTAATCACTCCAATATCATTCTTGGCTGCTTCGTCGACGTGCTCGTACAACGAAGCTCTTTTCAATCGAGTCATACTATACCGTGAAGGTATACTCTGCGTTTTGGATTGATACCGGAAAACACAACGTAGTTTACATGTTCAGGGTAGACTGCACGTATTAGATACGACTGGGCGACGACGAGATTCTTTCTAGGGTAGATGATGAACCATGCAGGAATTTACGCGCATCTGTGAGAATTACACCCGCCTAGGTGTTGGAATGACCTCACAACGGGCTACACTTGCCACACATCTTGGTGTATCTTCTTGAACGCATAGTCTCGTCATTTCAGGGTAAACGTGCTTTCGCGAGACAAGCACATGGAGTGTCATGACTTCAAGGTCATCATTGAAAGTTGTTCATTTTCATGCCGGTGTACCCAGCACTATCGTTGGATACATACGTGAGGTCCTGAATGTAATACCCCGCGCCATAACCCTGAATGCTAAAAAGAACCCATGCAGAAACACCCTCTAGTACCTCTTACCCTCACGGAGGATGTCGCTGTACTCCTCAAGCGGGGATGGTGTGAGCTTCTTCTCCGCCCACAGGTTGGGGGTGAGGAAACCGTAGGTATGTGCGACGGCGACGAAGGTAGCCTTCAGGGTGTTCTCAAGGGTCTTGGTGGAACCGGAAGAGGCAGTGTAGATGTCGGCGACACCAGCCAATTGCAAGAGACGCTTGACGGCGGGCGATGCGACAAGGCCGGTACCACGGGGAGCGGGAATGAGACGGACAGTGACGGAACCGCACTTTCCGCTCTCCTTGGTGGGGAGCGAGTGAGGCTCACCAAGGTTGGTGCCCCAGTAACCTCTTCGGATGGGGACGACGGAGAGCTTGGCGATGATGATGGCGGCGCGGATGGCGGTTGCGACTTCCTTGGAGGTCTTGATACCGAGACCAATGTGACCCTCGGAGTCACCGATGACGACGATGGCCTTGAAGCGGGTACGCTGACCGGCACGGGTCTGCTTCTGGACGGGCTTGATCTTCATGACCTCGTCCTTGAGCTTGGGGAGGAAGAAGTCGACGACCTGGTACTCCTTGATGGGGAGAGAGTGGAGGTAGCTGCCCGCAGTCAGTGAATGTTCCCTCCCAATGTCGCATCGAAACATACATCTCCTCCATGCTCTTGATCTTGCCGGCCTTTACGAGACGGCCGAGCTTGGTGACGGGCTGCCATTCCTTCTCCTATGCCAATTGTCAATTTCCCGCACTTTATGCCTCCAAGATGTTTTATATGCGTACTTCGGTCTTTCCGCCACGGCGGCCACGGCCACGTCCGCGACCACGTCCACGGTCACCACCGCGGTCTCCACGAGAACCGAATCCGCCGCGAGCGGGGGCAGGAGCGTCAGCCATGATGTATGTTGGTGGGGTATACGGCTGCTAGATTTGCGATTAGCGACAGTTGAGAGGGTGAGGAGAGGTGGGAGAGCGTACGATTTGGAGTTCCTGGGAGTTAGTGCGTGCTGTTGTCGCGGTCGCACTTGCAACTTTCGATATTGAAATGCTCGCTTAGGTCGTGGATGACGCTAGCCGCATGTGGCTTGGCGCAGCCAGGCTGCATGTGGGATGCCCAAGTGAATAGTCCACGGGTGATCACCACAGCTCCAAAGCGCAATTCTTGGAGACTTTGCTGCTGCGTTTAGCTAAGTGATTACCTCTCTGTACCGATAGATTCTATCATACCCCAAGATGCAACAATCCGAAGTCATTTGCCAGGGTACTTCACGCGAATCTTGCAAGTACGACAATACGTCTCTAGCTTGTCAGCGCATTTATTCCTCACGAAAATCTCTCATGACTGATTGCATCTCGTGCTCTGCTTGATCGTTCTGTCCATCAACATCGCATGTCTCATGCTCCCAAGCTGTCTGGGATGACGTGGCTGACTAAGAGCTCTCGGTGCGCGCCTGACTCGTTCACATGCGCGAGGTACCAACGCTACCACATGCACAACTACTTCTCACCAACGCCTCTTCAAATATACCATAGAGCGCACAGGAGTCTCATGGTTAATCGTAATGTCTATCTTTAATTCAGTCCTCGGCTCGCTCTCACCGCCGCGGCGATTCAGAAAGTCTTTCGAAGACCCTCACGCGCGCGAACACGAACTACCACTTTACAACTCTCCGCCTTCTCCTCGAATACCACCGCCTGTAACTTCCTCCGTACTATGGCACGCTCCAAAATCCAGCCTTTCTCCGCCGCCGCGCGTTCCCGACGACCTACTAGCTTTGCAACGGCGAGCTAGACATCTCGAGCAACAGCTGCAAGAGCTGCTTGACGCACAATCTGATGGCCTGATGGGCAGCCTTCGCGCAGGAGACGGTCGTGGATCGAATGGAAGCACCACACCAACTGTTAGCAGTGTTCGGTCCAGTGACCGAGGCGAGGACAGCGGAAACGGCCACAGCGCAACACGGAGCAAGAAAGTAGGACTAAACACAGCAAGGCAAGGCATATCTAAGCGGATAAGGCAACTTGCCAGTATCAAGGCTGAGGAACTAGACCTCTTAGATGAGGATCTGAGGAAGCTGCAAAGCACAGTGGAGAAGACCGATGCGTGGAGCCAGAAGCGTGTACGGCTCGCGAAGAAGATCAGGGATATAGAAAGAGAAGACGCTGGCGCAAGAGCACAAACCTTACAAACGGAAGCCTCGAAGCTAGAACAGGAGATTCGACAGAAGGAAGAAGAACTATGGGCGCTGAAGAGACAACACCGGCGAGTCTTGGACGAGCTGGCTGATACGGAAAACTCCGTGGAAGCCAAATTGGCATCGTACAAGACATCGCTGTCACTGTTAGATCGGGAGGTTTCAAACTTCCTTGCGCGACCTCCGAACGCGGACCACGTACCAATGTCGTCTTCTCCGTTCCTCACACTACCCGCGAAGCGAAGAACACTCGAAATGGCACGCGAATACTGGCAAGACGAGTACACAAGGCTGGCTGAGAGGTGCGAAGAGGTCGATAGAGATCGTGGTGCGCTTGACGAGGGCGCAGTACTATGGACCGACGTCATGAAAAGGGTGGCAGACTACGAGACAACCCTACAAGACTCTATGCGGCCCACGACACAGAAAAGCGCCCCAGATCCCAATAAGCTTCTCGAGCAAATGGATGCAATAATTGCCTACCTCGAAGAGAAGCTAGAGTTCGCGTCGTCGCGAAGTTGGAACCTCCTAGTTTGCGCTATCGGTGCCGAGCTGGAAGCGTTCAACCAAGGCAAGAATGTATTAGAAGAGACTCTTGGGTTGAAACGAAAGGGCAAGGAACGAGCTACAGAACCGTTGATAGATCATGATGGTTTTGAGGCTAGGGAACCAGAGGAGATGACGGGATCTGCGATCAGGATCAGTCGGTCCCCGCCGCAGAAGGCTGCGTCGCCTAGACAAACGTACTTTGACTCTGAAGACGATGATCCGGATCCCGAACTCATGATTTCGCATCAGGATACTGATCCTGATTGAGCTCGATGCGGGGTTGCTGACATGCTTTTCTTCGAGATTAGATACCCTTTTGTTTACCCACGCTTTTAAATCAATGAATCGCCATGCAATACATACCCTTCTACTTGCTCATGCCAATAACGTGTCGTCATGTGGACAGCCGTGCTGCGTGGCTCAATCTATCGATAAGAGTGGAGAAAACGGAGATAGCGCGTCTTATTACCGTCACTACTAACAAAGCTCCCGCCCGTTACGAGCATCACCATCATAATCACCTCGGTACAACTTGCGACATCTGCTGGACAGCTTCTCGCAAATATGAGTTCTTCGCACGCCCCGACTAGCCCACCTACCGAGGAGGACACCGCAAGAACCATTGTTTACGATCCAAACGACCCGTTCTGGCGCGATACTGAAGATGATGATGACGACATGGACTTTGTGCCCGCAGAAGAGGGGACCGACGACAATGAGGACGGTGAAGGCGATTTGAGCTTCCATGGTATATCAATCTGTTTTGTATGGCTCATGAACTATTTACTGACATTATCACAAGATGCTGCCGAACGATTGAGTAACCTCAGCGGAGTGGAGATCGCATTCGAATACACCGACGATAACGACGAAGATGACGACGAAGAAGAGGATGAGGACGAGGATGATGATGACGAGGACGAAGAAGAAGACGAGGACGGGGATGACGAAGATCCAGACGACCCTCGGCAGCCAGTCATGATTACACGTGAGCAGATAATGCAGTTACTCGGGCATGCCGGATTAGGGCGGATATTCGCCACCGATTTGATTCCCCGATCGGGGCTTCGGCGACACAGGTTTGACGATGATGAGCAGGAAGATGAAGAGGACAGCAATGCAGGCACCGGCTATGATCCTATTGGCACAAGGTCTTCTGGCAGAAGGCGAGGGCCACGAGGCAGAGACTTGTTTGAAAAGGTGCCCAGCGAGCAGGGCCAGGAATTGATGCAAGGTGGTAACTTCGGAACGAACCCACGACCAGAGGATACACTCCAGAGGAAAAAGAGGCTAGCATACAACATCATGCGACGAGAGCTAGGCATCGGTAGTGATGGTCGCCAGAAGAATTCCACAAAGCTGCTGAGGCAAGACATGATACCCGAGTCTGTGGCGGACACCATCATACACTACAATGCGCGATGTTATTCGGGACAGTTCTCTGACGATGGTAATTTCTTCTTTTCATGCGCTCAGGACTTCAAAGTGCGCATGTACGACACATCAAATCCGTATGACTGGAAGTATTACAAGGCAAGTAACATCCT